TTAATCCCAATGGCATCCTTTAATGTTTCTGGTGCACCCTGAGGTTTCTGAGTTATTGGTATTGGAAGCAATGGTTTCTGATCAGGGGGCTCCACGGCAGGGCTCAGGAGGGGCAGCAAGCTGTTCTGTGCTGCCTGCTGTTGGTGATGGGAAGCTTCATGGGCCTAAAACCAAACATTCACACTTCAGAAACTTGACCTCTCACAATGGCCTTTAAAAGTCAACATGCTCCAGACAATAGAGACCAGAAGAAACAGTCAAAGAACCTACAAGCTACTCTGCAGTGGAAATCCAGCAACCTAGTTACTCAGAGCTCACAATACAAAGCATTGAAAAATCACTGTGCAGACACAAAACTTTTGCAACTAAGTTGCTGACAGTGATCTTGCTTTTAAACAGCTGACTAAACCACACACTCTCCTGGTTCATAAGGGACAGACCAGCTGATGAAATCAGTTTGCATTAGCCTGTCAGTGCTGAAACCAAGTTTAAATAACTTACTAAAAAAAAAAAAAATCCTCCAGGTTTAAGTATTTAACAGTACTTTACTGCAACAACACGCACATACACACTCACGGACACACAATGACATAGTCATCTATTTCTCTATTACCCAGAAGAAAAGCATCGTGTCTTTCCTCCGATTGAGGAAGGGGCTGTCGCTAAGTGATGAAAGAAATCTAGTTCTCTAAATACATTTGCTAGTTGTTTGTTAACTTTAAGTTTTCACCTGTCTCTACTAAAAGATTTGGTTGAAACCAAATCTGCTATTAAGCAACCTGGAAGGTATCTGTGAAGGTAGCCCACAGCAAAACACCTGCCAGTTGTTTCTCAGGTCACTTAATTGTATACTAAAGTCTGCATCCTTCAGCAACACTAGCTGTTCAAATCCGAAACTCTCAAAGACAGACTAATGAGAAAAACAAACTATAAACACTAAAATTCCTTTCATATTTATCTTCTTCCAGCAGTTGTAGGTTTCAATAAAGTATTAGACATTTGCTGTTATGATGTGCTTCTCCACTCCCAAAACTGGAGGCTGCACACTGGAAATTCTTTTAGCTGCACTGAAACCAAAATTTAATCATGGATCAGGTTCTTGGTATTTATGAGTAGTTACTTGTTTGGTTCTGACACTTTCAAAATTCTCCACACTGATAAACATGTAGGAAATGATGGGAAAAAATTCCTGAAATAGTTCTTCCTAATATGTTGTTCTTTACTAACATTATTTTTGAAACTCTTGACAGTAAGCCCAAGCCCCTATGCTTGAGTTCTGTAATCATAAAAGGACACATCACTCAAGAGGTGGGAGTTTCAAATATTTTAAGCATACAGTGTCCTACTAGGGGCCTATCCCATCATCTTAGACACTTTTAACAGTTATTTACCCTTCTTACTCTATAACAAGTCCCACAGATAATTTGATTAACGACGAAAAAACAAGGAGAAACACACACACTCACTCACAGCTCCTCCTCTGATGGATAAGAACATCTACCACACATTGTATGTTTACTTGATGGCAGCGTTAACAGTTAAGCCTGGAACTAGTCTCACCCAAACGATTAGGAGGTGTGGTATCCAGAGTTCTCAGTTTCAATTTAATAATTTTGATGTCATCACCCTTTGAGTCCTGGAAGCTTTCTCAGAAATTGTGTGGTTACTTATGAGTCTCTTTCTGGACTTACTGCTCCTAGCGAATTACAGTCCACTGTTAATCTAATTTGTGAAGCTCCTGTAAATGTAAGGGTCTATCTACCCAGGTGACCTCAGTAGAAACTTTACACAATTTGGACTCTAATCATACCCCGTTTTCCAACCTGGCTGTAGGGATACTCAAGTTTCCATACAGTATACAAATAGTTAATAGCTGAAGATAGCTGAAGATATACAATTTCAAAAGCTAACACATCAGATAATAGGGAATGCAGATCTTCTGGACAAAGTTCAGACTTAGAGCATTTAGAGGCATTTTTCAATTCTAAACAACCATTAGTACAATGGAGTACTAAAAGCACTTACTGCCATTTTACCAATTCAGATGTCTGTGGCAACATAAAGTATTTTTACAGCATTGCTGAAGCTCACTCTCACACGAGGGTCACACCAGGTCCCTGCTTCTTGGGTGAAATTC